TAATAATAGAAGGAGAAGGAGAAGAAGAAGCCTTGATCAGAGTCAGAACCCTCTTATGTCAAACCTAAGGTGCAGATTATTGTACAAATGATCTGACATTTTTGCCACTTGCCCAAGGAGGCATCCGGGAAGCTGTTGCATAAGTGGAGACAGAGCTTTCTTAATGGAGATTACCAATCATGCAATTAAGTTAAATTATGTTACAACTGCAGAGCTGGAAGAGACCCCATGGATTGAATCCAGTGCCTGTCAAGGAGACACCATAGGGCTTTGAACTCCCAACCTCTGGGTCCACAGCCAGATAGCTAAACCACTGAGCTAGCAGAGCTTGTGCATGCAGGCTAAACCCACCTCACTGCAGTAACAGGAGCTTCTGCTTAATGGAAGCTGAATAGGATAATTGCCAGGTATTTAAAAGTTGGAAGCTTAGAGCAGAGGAAAGAGACTTGTTGCAGATCCGCTCCCTCGACTTCTTGCTAGAAAAGATTTCCAGCAAAATTCCAGATTAGGGTTGCATTTCCATAACAGACCTTTCTGAACAGCACAGGGAAGCTGGAAGTGGAGGGGGTGAAGCCACAGTGAGGCAGGATGCCTGAATAGGGTCTGTGAGTGCCTATTGCTGAGAATGCCAAAGCTCGGGGGGGGGGAAGAGATACTATTTATTTATTTATTATATTTTGGACTACAGAGTCTGGAATGGTCCTTCCAGCATGGGCCATGTTCTCCATGCTTTGCAACTACTCCTATTTCTGTTCATCAAAGATATACCTGAGGCAGTGTGCAGTTAAGCTGGTTGAAGTAAGGAATCCTGCTTCCAGAAACAAACGTTTATGATCAGAAAGGATTTATCCAATAAAACTCTCCTGTTCTTGTACGGTTTGGGCTTCTGGATTGATGACCTTTTATCTGGAAAATCCCAGTTGAGGCTTTTATCTGCTAAAACGGTTTTCAGTTTTATATTGCTTTGTATTTTGATATTGTTTTATCATGGGTCCTGTACTTGTTATTGTTGTTATAAGCAGCTCTGAGGAGCACAAATGCAGCTCTGAGGGTGGGACATGCCTTTTGAAATGAACAACAGCCACACTATTGTTCTGAAATACAGTTGCAGAACATTTATCCGTGTTTTAAAAAGATGCTTTCTCCCATTTAAATGTTTTGAGAACAGTAGTATGGGGCAGACTATCTAACTAAAATAATGATTCCTATAAAATGAAAATAGAGATTTCTGTACACTTTAATTTTTTTTTCAGTGGACATCAGGAATCTCCCATCTAACTGGGCCGAGGTTCCTCCTCTAAACTGTAACTGCTCTGACATGGAGCTACCAAGCAATACATCACAGTGATGCACATAGGAACAAGTCAGACTAATTTATCCCTCTAGGCCAGCCTTTTTTCTATACTGACAGATATCAGCTTTTCAGAGTTCAGGGTTTAGGCAAAAGTCTTTCCAAAACCTACCTGAAGATATGGGGGCTTATTTGGGATCTTATACATGTGATGCATATGCTTTACTGGCAAGCTATGGCCCAATCATATATACTCAAGTGGAATTCCATCCTTCTTGTGAACTGATGATATAAAAGAAGGATAGAAACCATAAAAACATGTATTGATTATGATTTAGAAAAGGTAGCTGTGTTAGTCTGTGTAAGCATACTAGACAAAACAAAAAAACCCACAAAATTTAAAAAATACAGAATACAAAAATGTTGTGGTACCTTAAAGACTAACTGCTATATTTTAATGTGAGCTTTCATGGACAAGTCCACTTCCTCAGACCTCATGCTATTTATGTTGCAAAGTTTTGACGTTCTGGTAAAACTCCTTTTATAATGCAGTAGAACAGAGACCCATGGAGGAGAATAGCTACAAGTTCCCCCCAGAGTCCACCCCTATCTCATTAAATAGCAGTTAGATTTGCAGTAACTCCTATTTATGTATTTGTTGTAGAAAGTATTTTAAAAGGCCACTTACACTTGCTTGACATTACAGACTTGTGCATGCTGTTTTCTGTACTTAGCAATCAACCAAACAGATCGACAGAAAACAAATAATTGCCACCAATCTATGAAAGAGAGGGAAAAAAGAACACTTAGCAAAGAGCTGGGGCTCTTTTTGAACTCAAAGGCTGGAAGAAATAATTGGTGAATGCTGGATAGATAGACAATCAGCCCAGTCCAGAAAAGTCCCTTCCAGTGACTCATATTACAGATAGCATGAGAGGTTGCAAATAAAATTCCAGTGATTTCCAACATAAATAACTGAGTTATTTATGTCTCAGATTTACTTCCCCAGTGTCCCTAATGAGCCCACCAATAATTAGCTTTTAGTAATGCTCAATTGTAGGCTTTACTATTATTATTATGATTATGATTATGATTATGATTATGATTATGATTATGATTATGATTATGATTATGATTATGATTATTATATGTGCTATAATAAAAAGAGAGAGCTCTGCATGCAAATTCAGCAGTGCCAATTATTTTCTCTCTTTAAAAGATCAAAAAGACAAGCAGGGACACCTGTTCCTATTGACTGTCAACTAAGCCAGTGGTCAGAATGGACTGAGTGCTTTCCTTGTCAAGGCAAAAAGGTAAGGTGTTGGTCTCATAAATTGCTGTTAAGATTGCAAATCTAGTTGCTTCTCAATCCCACAGATTTCTATGGGGTTTTCTGGCTCTATTCCTTCCCTTCCCTAGAATTTTCCCAGCCAGCAAGATGCCCTCAGTTTCTTCCCCTGAAATCTTGCATATTCTCAGTGTTCTTTATTAGATCCATCTGTCCTGCTGCTTCCTGCTCAGGGCTAAGTTTTGAGGGTCCTACACAGTTTATGCTTGTTCCTCTTGTCAATTTCAGGCTCTTATAATGGACAGTTTCAAATGCTTATGTAGGATCACTGACTAAATGCAACCATTTGAAATTGACAAGTGTTCCTGCCTGGAATTGACAAGAGCAGGAAACGGATAGGCACCAGCAGTGCAAGACTGCCCCGCTGAATCTTGTGCAGGACATTGGTGAGAAGGGAAGAGGGGAAAAAACCCGATCAAGTAACCAGGCAAACAAGTAAAGTGTTCAGCATTACTCCCCCCTGCGGCTCTGGGAAGTCTCCCAGTTTCCTTAGGGGTCTTGGAGTGATTTCACTCCAAGTCAAAATGTCAAAAACCACTAGGATTAAAAAGTGCTTGCCTAGTACTCCTGACATCCCTAGCTGGTGTTCAAATATTCTTAGTTTCTGCCTACAGGGCAAGCAGAGCCAGGACTCAACATCAAATGTCGTGGCCACAACTGAGAACAGGTTTAGGTTCACTTTGCTTAAGCCCATTGAAATCGGTGAGCCAAAGCTCTGAGCAGGATTGCAGCCTGTAAGGTCCAGCAGTACAAGAAATCACAATGGCGGCTAAGAATGTGAGAGGAATTCTGTTGGACCGGAAACAGCTTCCTGGATACTATGCAGTGTGCACCCAGATGTGCCCCAAATGCTGGAATGAATGGTGAAGCCCTTGCATGCGCAGGAGTTCTGTATGCACACAGGGAAAAGGGGTTCCCAGGAACAGATTGGCTGTCAGTTGGCAGACTTCCTCTTGGAGGCATGGGATAATGGCAAGGGCTTGGAAATGCCAAGTGCCCTGACCTCCCCTGCAACTGTGCTGTGCCACTGGTGACTAAATCTTCATCCCTCAGTGTTTCATCATAGTGTGCTTCAAGCTGTGCTTTAAGTAATTTTAGTGTACTTATAAAGGCTTGATTTGTTTTACACTTTAAACATCTAAATAATGAACGTTCCTTCTAACTAGGTTAAATTACGGTATAGATCCGTTTTATTGCCTCTTAATTTTTAATTCAGATTTTTGAAATATCATTTTGGATGTGTATAATTCATGAGAGCTAGCCTCTTCCTTCCTTTTGAATATATCTTAAAGTACAGACACAGAACCTTGGTCCAGCCGGCCAAGTATGCAGGGCGCAGGTGTACTGGCAGTCTTTGGGATCAAATGGACTGTGTGCCAAGTGGAACATGTGCTGTGAGCCAAGACTGTGGAAATGATTTTCGGTGTGAAGAGAGTGGTGAGTACCATTATAGCATCTTGAACTAATGTGAGCAGGTGGTGACAGATGAAACCTTGAAGGCTAACACGTTTTATTTGGCATAAGCTACAGTGGCCTTCCAGCCTACTTCTTCTGTACAGCAAATAAATAAAACTTGCCAGTGTTTAAGATGCCACTAGATTCATTGTTGTTTTTGCCATGACAGACTAAAACAGCTGCCCTCTTTAGGAGTAACAGATAAATAAATCCTGTTCCATGCCTTTAACACATTTTGGGAACCTAATAGACGTGGATTCACTGTTTCTTTATTGAAGTCAAATGGGACAGTAAAGCTTTCTTTAGGGCATCTAAGACTGGGTAGAATTGCAATGTGAAGAAGGCAGCCGGTGAGCTCTGCCAGCTAACATCCTTGGTTTCGTCACCCTTTCCACACAGAGGATGATTTTTGGAAGGGACAGTATCCTCGACCCATGAAAGTTCTGCCGGTGATTCTGATCCAAAGGGCGTCAAGAGCTTCCATGGATAGATAGGATTCTGGCCACAAATTTCCCTTTGGGTGTAGAAGGCAACAGAACCAAAGAGGATTACAAAACTGGCAGCCGCCGGAAGATTACTTTCAGCTTAAGAAAACGTTGTTTGGGAGCACAACAATTTACAAGGGTCCTGGGCAGAATTCGCATGTAGAATTCTGCTCTCGGGAGATTTCTGGAAGGACAAATGTTGGATGGACATTTGGTCAGGCTCAGGATGCAAGGCTCTAGAAATCTTCAGGTTCTGGTAGGCTGCTAAAGCCTTGGCTCTAGACCTTCGGCTGGCTTCCATTGGATAAGGCTGATGGGCCCTAGGAGAAAACCCACATTTTTTCTCAAGGAAGCTTTCTGGACTACTGGTACTAAGGCATCTGATCCAGAGATGTGGGAAGCAGTTAATAAGAAGAAGGCTCTTGCCTTAGAGAGCTGGGACTGTGGCAAATGTCTCAAACTCCTTCCTGTCTTCCCGTTGCCCAAGCTGAACAAAGCTCATTTCCCAAAAAGGAGCAGCGGAAACTCCAAATCTCCATCTGGTTGCATTGAATGGCTCTAAGCAGAGATCACAAATGCATACACTGACAAGGTGAACCTGACAAGAGGAAGCACCCACCATATCCCTCATCCATTATTTAGACGGGGAAATGTGCTCTGTTAAAGCTTTTCCAGTCATGCACCTCTGGCAGTTAAGAGAGGCCATTTCGGAATTATTGCAACTAACTTGGTTTTCTGGTTTCCAGCAAAACATTTGTGTTTTTTGTAGGAAATGGTTAAAATGTGAAACCATTATGTGTCTGAATCTGGGGATCCTGGTAGTGAAAGGAGTCCAGTTGGCCGAAACATGGTGTCACCTAAGCAAAGTTGAAGCAGTGCCCCCCCCCTCAACAGGACCAACATTTTAAAACAGGGGTTGGAACTTTTTTGTGGGTCTGTGTCCAACAGTCACACTGGCTCTCAGGAAGAATTAAAGCAGTGGCAGCAGAGCTGTTGCTTCGGGATCCATCTATCCATGTGTTCCTGGTGTCCTGAAGCAACAGTTCCTGAGCAAGCCAGTCCTCCATAACATTCACCTGCCCCTTTAGGAAATGTCCAGAGCCTCAGAAGCCACCCCTTCCAGACACAAAATGGCCCCATCCCAGGATAGCTGCATCTCTGTGCATCCTGCATCTTTCCCATGGGCAGGGGGCATGCCAGGCTGGTTTCCACAAGTGCTGGTGCTTGCAGATACTTCCTTGGGAAGCTGCAGCAAAGCTTTCATTTTTATACTATCTTGAAGGCAAAGGGAAGCATTGTCATGATCTTGGCTATAACCAGGGCCAGAGGATCATACACACCATAGCTTCCCGTCCAGTTGTCAGCAGGAAATGATGAGAACCAGTTGGGGGGGGGGGTCAACCTACCAAACACATCCTGTTTCTTGGGTCCTGAGGGAGATCTTTGACCTCCAGATTCCCTTCTGGAGATATTCCTTGACAACTAACAGTGATGAGTTGTCAAACAAGATCCATTAACGCTTGAGATGCTTCTGAGGTTCATATAGCCATCTCAGAGTTTTCACTGGCAATGTAGGAAGAGATGTTTCAGTTCAAATGTTGGGTATGTGGGAAAGAAACACATCAGAGCAACAGCAGGACAGATCTGCCCCAATATATCTTTGTGGATTTCTGTGAGTGACCAATAACTCCCACTTTACTGAACCAAACGAAACATGGACTGTGAAAACAGACAGCAAAACCATTACACAAATATAAATAATGAAATCGATCTATGTCTGTGCTCCAGGCCGTTGCATTAAACGCCATCTTGTATGCAATGGAGAAGCAGACTGTCGGGATGAGTCTGATGAGGTCAATTGTGAAGATGCTGAAAGTTCATGCGATCAACTGGACCCAATCCCAGGGATTGCGAGACTAGCACAGGGGTGAGATACAATTCTTGACCTCATACTTATATGCTTCCCTTAATCATCAGGAACATTATTCATTTTTTTCCCTCAGAACATCTGGTGCCATTGTGAGTAGTGCAGTGCCTAAAATGCTACTGGATATTTACATGCACAAAAGAGCAACCACAGACGTTACTGTGGGTAATTGACAAGGTGGTGTATGTGTGCTGGATGGGCAATCAGCTGCAAAAACAGGCAGACATTCATCATGTGTCTGGCACCTCATCAGTTAACCACAGAAACTTCCTCAATCCATTTTGCACCTGCATAAATATCTATTATGATTCTGGACACTGTTGTTTAGAGATGGGAGGAGAGAGAAAGCATTCCTGACCATAAATGCTAAAAGAACTGTTTTCTCCCTTGGTATAAATTTGCCAACAAACAAATATGTACAAGACAAAGAGGGAGATACGCCTATAGGTTTATATTTATTCATCAAATGAAATTTATCAAGTGAAAAATCACAGTTTGCTGACTTGGTATGGAACTAGAGTTTGGGTGTTCAGCTCCTCCTGAGCTTTCCAGGGGAAAAGCCAACCTGTGTAGCCTTGGACAGGTTGCACAGTCCCAGGACACCCCCGAAAGAAGGGAACAGGAAATCACGTCTGAATTCTCAATCTCTAATAAACCCTGGAAAAGATCACTGTACATCAGAATTAATTTGATAGCATATTATTACTCTCACTTTGCTGGAGATTGTGGAAAGTACTTCTTCAGATGAAAAGGTTTCTTTAAAAATGAATACAGTATATATATTCATTTTTATATTTTATATTTTATATTAACAACAATATATAATTCTTGTTGTTTAGTTGTTAAGTCATGTCCGACTCTTCGTGACCCCATGGACCAGAGCATGCCAGGCCCTCCTGTCTTCTAGGAGGGAATTTGGTCAAATTCATGTTGGTAGCTTCGATGACACTCTTCAACCATCTCGTCCTCTGTCGTCCCCTTCTCCTCTTGCCTTCACAATTTCCCAACATCAGCATCTTTTCCAGGGAGTCTTCTCTTCTCATGTGATGGCCAAAGTACTGGAACCTCAGCTTCAGGATCTGTCTTTCCATAAATATATATTCCTCTGCTTACTGTGAATATTATTTTACAAAATCATGATTAGCATGATTTTGTCACATAAATGTTTCTATTACGTTCTCATAATCTTCTAGAAGATGTTGTTCCCCATGTTCTGATTACAGAACATGGGGCTCATAGGTATGCTGAATTATCTGAGTTTTCCACTGGAGAAAGAGAATTTTGTGCCATCTCAAACAGGGAATTTATTCCCTGAAGATTCATCCCCTCCAGTCACTAGGTAAAACTACCCAGTTTGGCTACTATTGACTTTCTTTGCCTAATCCATCATCTAAAATTATCTCAGTTTTTCTGCCAATAGAAAGCCTGCCCAGTTGCTTTCTGTTTTATACTGATAAAAGGCAATGAGAACTTTGGCCAAAATGAAAACATTTTTCAGTTTACAGAAGGATCTTGGGTTTTCAAAATGAAGAAAATGGTGTGACATTTTTTTCTGTGTTGTCTGCTCTCATTATGAAGAGGCTCCACCAGATGAAATCTAATATCATCATATCCCCAGAAAGAGGTTTAAACTTCTGCACACCCTTTCTTTTTCATTACAATTCGAGACACTATGCAGGCAGCATAAGTTTTTTCTCCTTTCCATTGCCTGCTGTTTTTGTACCACTGAGCCTGGTGAATAGGCCTAGAGAGACAGAAAGCTTGAACCTGTTATATACCCTTTTGGTAGGCAGAATAAAATAATATAACTTCTGAAGTTTGACATACGGCCCACTTTTATTTTCAAAATATCACTTCATTGGTCTTAAGATGGTGATTACATGTTACTCAACATTTGTGTCTATAATGTTCAATGGAACGTGTTTCTAGGTAAATCTGCACAAGACTGTAGCAGACATTTGTACAAATTGTTAAATACAAAAAGATCTCACATTGCAGCACGTCATATTGGGCCGTCATTCCTCCAAATATATAAAAACCAACTGTTATTTCAGATCTGCCTTACACGACCTATAATAATTCATTAAGGCAACTGAGGATATTCTAAGCATATGCAAAAACTGAAAAGAAATATCTAGAGAACTGCTGAATTTTCATTCAGAAGAGGAATGGCTGTTAGGGATGCGCCATTTGTTTTGGTGAGCACACCCTTCTTTGTTATAATTCAAGATCCACACCTATATTTTGCTCACCTGGGCCTATTCCCAAGACTGCATGGCCTCGGTCCAGTCTGGTTTCCTGTTGTTAATTTTCCATAATGAAAGCTACCACAGTGCTTCTTCAGATTTGTAGTTCTCCAGGAAGCACCCTTTATATAGTGTAAAGAACAGTGAGACAACCACTTCCACAAACCAGTGTAGCAGCTTCCGAAAACATGTGGTCCGAGTCTTAATTGTTCTATATCTTCTGCCAGACAGCAACAGTTCAAATAAAATTATGAGCAGGATGGGAAGAGTCTCTCAGGATGCTGTGTGACTTCCTCAGACAGCGGGATGTGAAGATGTCATCCAGGGTTGGTAGCTGGAGCCCGATGATATTCTGGGCAATTTTAACGGTTCTCTGTAGAGCTTTTTTGTCCGCTACAGAGCTACTCCCAAACCATGCCAGAATGCCATAGGTTAGGACACTCTCAAAGCAGGTGAAAAAAATTTAGGGAGCTGTAGGTATGGTTCTGTAGGATGCAACTCTGAGAATTCTGCCTGAGAAATTCATGGAGAATTATGGGAGCTGGAATCCAACCCCATAACACACACACACACACACACACACACACACACGGCACATCACTAATGGCTATTGTGCCTTATCTCAGGGTGCTTTAAGGAAACCTAAGATTTTTTGGAACTGGTAAAAATTAACCTAGAGTGAAATCTTAAACACATTCTTTTCAGCTGTCATATTGACTTTAGTGGGACTTTCTCCCAGGTAAGTGAATAGACGATTAGCCTTATAAAGAAAACCTTCTGAATCTCTATCTGAAAATTACCCAGAAAGTATTCCTGCCAATACATTGCCACAAATAACAGCAAACACAAGAAAGAGTCTAATGGTGCCCTAAAACCTAACATGTCTATTGGCATGAGCTTTTGTCACCTTAAGACATCTTAAGACAGTCACAAATTGCATGGTGCTTTCCAAGAGTTTCTCTGACTGCCACATTTCTCTCTCTCTCTCTTTTTTTCTCACTGACTTTCCTGGAAAAGAATTCCATGAACTTCAATAGCTAGTTTGCTCTTTTATGCCTTTCAGCTGGTTGCAGTAAAGATGAAATTCCTCTACTTCTGTTTAGATCTCACTACAAAGTCTCTCCCCTGTTGATATTAAGGTCTTCCATAGAACATTGGGTCCAAGAACTCTCTTCATGTGGCAGCTTTGTCTCTTTCTAAAAATCTGCCTATGAAACAACATACCAGAAGAGCTGAAGGTCAGAATGTATCTTTCACAGAACAAAGAAACTATACTCACATGCCTGCTCATGTCTTTCCTCTTTAAAGATACAATATCCTTACACAACAAGGAGCACAGTTAGTGTATGACACTGCCTATTACGGTGGCCAATGTGAATCTGTCTATAATGGAGAATGGCGAGAGCTGAAGTATGACGCTACATGTGAACATTTGTATTATGGGGACGATGAGAAATATTTCCGAAGGCCATACAATGTCCACTACTATCAATTTCTAGTAAGTATTTGAAGGCTGTTACTGATTGTTAGGCTAAGTGTGAAATAACACTGGGCCCTTGCTATGAAATAACTACCTTACCTGTAAATGGGAAGGTCCTCTGTATGGGAATCACTCCAGTTCTCCACTTTCACATATTTTCAAAGCGTTCATAATCCAGGATGTGGAAACTGTTGCATAATTCATGGCACTGGATAAACTTTGATTTCATATTTTTTTCAGAAGGTTTTGTTTATTGAATGCCATGACTTAGACCCAGTGATTTTTGTGAAATAATTGCATATCTCTTTGCAGCCTTTCCCTGACTGATAGGATCATAAGTAGAATGTATAAGAATGGGTGCATACTTCTCCCCATGCAAACCAGGACCACATATGCAAAGCAGTCTGCTTCTGTGTACATTCCGTGTTTTGTCACATTCAGGCCAAAAGTGAGAGCTCAAGGCAGACCAGATGTTGGAGAGCATCTCCAAGGTGAGGGACTTGCTCCAACAAGGCCTGAAGCTCAACTGAGGACTTTTATGCTTTCAGACTATACTCTCCAAGCATCTACCTCTTTCCCCAAAATGGTAAACCATAAAGTAGGAGTGAGAATGTGTGGTTTGATAGTGACTTGCTGAAACCTGAAGTGACCAGAAGTCTACCTCTGGTTTTGAAAGGCTTACGGTTTAACTGTGGTGACTTGATGTGTCCTAGATGTAGCCCAAGTCTCTCTCAAAAGAAGTGAGCTTTGCTCTGGAGCCTAGATTCCTTGGTCTCTCTAATTGTTCAAGGCTGCTGTCACCATGCCAACTCCAAAGACTGCAGAATTCTTCAACTATGGTGTGCTGTCTTAGTGTAGCACCTGGGCTTGAGAGCAGCCAAGACTGATCTGGACTCATAGGTCTCTGGACTTCGATGACTGGGATTCTCCTGTTCAGGCCAGTGCCTGTGAGGCTGGCATCCCTGACTCCTTAGACCTAGGATCTACTTGGATTCTTGTCTCATGACAGGCTTGGACAAAGGTTAGAAGTGGGCTCATTATGTATATTTATCTCTTGCAGAGGGGTGACCTGTACATGCATCTCTGAAAAATCATACTGACTAGAGATAATGCAATATGTAATCAGTCAGTTTAACTAAATTATCCATAACTGATTCTTTTCTTAAATGTCGGGTAGCCCAACGTTTGTTTCTAGAAAAACCACAGCACCATATTTTGCAGGTGGGTAGCCATATTAGTTGTCGGTTGCAGCAAAATTACCAAGGAGTCTGGCTCACAAAGAATAAAAAGTTACATTTATCCTAAACTTTCATGGACTCACTTCCTCTTCTTATACACAGTGCAAAACTAAAATTTCAGTCTAACTAATTTGTTTCTTCTTTCATTTCAGGCACATGCTGACACAGGTTTCTCTTCAGAGTATTTTGATGATGCCAAGGATTTACTGAATGCCATTAAGAGGGACACCTCTTGGAATGCTGGCTTCACATTTGGAATCAGCCCTCCTAAAGTACCTGTCTCCTTGGAAATAGGCTTTAAGCTTTCCAAGGGTAAAGGGACCCTGAAGAATATCACAGAGTACGAGTCTAAGGTAAAGAAAATTGATACTCCCTTCTCTTTCTTATTCCTTTTCCACTGAAGAGGTCAAACACTCTGTGAAGTGTACTGAGTCATTTCCCTCTCCATGTCTACCCACTGAAATAATAATGATCAAACCTTAATTACTTCATGTAATTAAACTATGGGATTATTAGGAATTCTGATTGCTTTCTGTATTGTACTGAGGCAAACAGAGGCATTCTGGTGGGAATGGAATTGCATTATGAAGCAGAACCAAACATGATATTTATTTATTTATTTAAAGTATTTTTTACCCCGCCTTTCTCCTTAAAATGGATCATTTAATGATGCAGCTTGCATCATTAAAAGACAATATTTAATGCTAATAATAGTGAGCATACAAATACAAAAGGATCAGACAAATACTATCTTACTCCATCTGCTTTCACAGTGTTGTAAGAGTATAAATGATGAATAAATGCCTGAGGGGGCAAAGAAAGTGGACAATGCAAAGAACTGTTCATTAGCAATAGTTGTCACTATGAAGAATGAATGTGGTACAGTGGTAGACAGACAGACTGTGAGGGTTCTTCCATGGAGAAAGGATGATTTCTTTCTTGTGACAGTGGCAGATTAGACTCAGGAGACAGTGACGATTCTTTCAAACATCCAACATTTATCTCTGGAACCTTAAGAAAATGATTCAAATCAACTTTATATTCAACAGCTCCTTGGAGCAACAGAAGTTTTTTTTTCTTCCAGAAACAGGAAAGGGATTCTTGAAGGTGCCTTCCCACAGTCCTCCTACACCTTCCATCTCTAAACACATTAATGCCAGTTCTGGTGATAGCAGTAACAGAGACAGTTGTTCTTCTGGTGGGTCTTGGCAGTATGTGGGTTCATCTCCTGGATGTGGAAAGTCCCAGGTCCTGGAGGTGAATATCTTGTTGACCCAGATCAGTTCATCTACCTTTCCTTCTCTCTCTCTCTCTATCTTAGCTCTCTGTGATCTTTCTTCCCCATTGTGTTGCCTCCTTCTCTCACCAGTATGATGGTTTTTGGAGTATCTTCTCCCTCCTTCTCCTGTCAAGCATCTTTCCATGGTACTGTTAGTTTCTCCCATCTGTAGGTCCAAGGGTTCTCAGTCCAGATCCATTCCGATCCCGGCAGCAGGACATTTCCCTCCTTCTTCCCTTCAGTGCTCCTGCCTCTGCCTCCCTCCTTCTCTCCCCTCTTCCCTTTTCTATCCCCCTCTTTTCTTCAAACACTCTTTTTCCTCCACCAATTATTGTCTCTTCTTTCCCCACCTCTTCTAACAGTCTTTCTCCCTTCCCTGCCTCTTGGTTTTCCGCCTCCCCTTTCCTAGAGGTCTCCTGTGTCTCACTTCTTTTTTTAGCTCCTGTCATTTCCTTTGGGATTTCATTTTCCCAGGGGATGGAGGGCATTCTGGGGGGGGGGATATTCTCAGATCTGCTCCCAGGCTCACATAGACAGACAGACAGACAGACAGACAGACAGACAGACAGACAGACAGACAGACAGAGTTATCTTACATTCGTTGATGCAAATTGGATTATATGGTTATAAGAGTTGTCTTTTTAATTGCTTAACTGATTGGGACGTGGTGGTGCTGTGGGCTAAATCATAGAAGCCTGTGCTGCAGGGTCAGAAGATCAAATCCACGTGACGGAGTGAGCGCCCATCGCTTGTCCCAGCTCCCGCCAACCTAGCGGTTCGAAAGCATGCAAATGCAAGTCGATAAATAGGGACCACCTCGGTGGGAAGGGAACAGTGTTCCGTGTCTAAGTCGCACTGGCCATGTGACCACAGAAAGATTGTCTCTGGACAAACGCGGGCTCTATGGCTTGGAAACGGGGATGAGCACCGCCCCCTAGAGTCGAACACGACTGGACAAAAATTGTCAAGGGGAACCTTTACCTTTACCTTTAACTGAATTTGGGAATACAGAGATACGGTGACAGTACATGACCTGGGGGTGCCCCCCAAGTTGGGTAAGGCATCCTTTGTCCTTTTCTTAGATCATGAGCTGCCTGTGCAGACATGTATACAAAGGTGGATTTGATGGTAGTGGTGTTGCTTGTGCCTTGTTTTAAGCAGAAATCATGTGTGATGGGCAGTTACCAGTCAGGACCTATGAACAATTTTGACAGCAGAAGGAACATTTTGTCTCCTTAGTACCAATGTTAGTCAGCCTTCCTGACAGAAAAAGAAGCAATTGTGTAGAATTGCAAATAATCTAGGTTAGGTGGCTAGCTTTAACAGACTCAACTCATATGGCATATGTCCTTCCAGCCCGGGTCCCTTACACTGCATAAGCTTTATTTGTCCTGTGGCATCATTGCATATCCCAAACTTAGCCAATGAGTTTGAGTTTCTAGGGAGGAAAAGAAACATTTTGAGAGGAGGGGAGGAACTGAACAGGTGATCACAACTGCAAACACCACCAAGCTATCACAAAAAAGATAAGCATGTGGTACTAATGGGCTGTTTTAATGACATTTCAGTTCATTCCAGTTCAAACAAAACCATATTTTACTAGCTAGAGAAGTATGTGAGTTGTGATTAAAAAAAGAAAGAGAAAATGTCCAATCTGTACATGTCATGTTTGAAAGATGAAACGTGGTAGAGACACGTGGGACTACCAACTGACTATCTCTCTAGTAGGAATCTGCGGCGGTGCCTTCATATTGGATGTATTCCCTATATGGAAAATTATTCTAAATAAAGCAAACTATTGCAAGAATTAAAAAATTGCATATTTCAGAAAAAATGGTTTGTGTTCTTCCCCCACTTGCCTCACCTCCCAGAATTTAGCATTTGTTAGAGTCCGTACCAAAGTACAAACAGCCCGTTTCAAGATGAGAAGAACTGATATAGTCCTGGATGAAGATATGTTCCAGTCTCTGATGGATCTTCCAGATCAATACAACTATGGAATGTATTCCCAGTTTATTAATACTTATGGCACTCATTTCATGACATCTGGGACCATGGGAGGCATCTTTGAATACATCCTCGTGATTAACAAAGACAAAATGCTTAAAGAAGGTATGCGTATTTCATTTCTTCTACCTATTTGGTGTATCAGAGGGTGTTAGACTCTAATCCCCTTACAAAGAACATAAATACACATAATCAAGCATATTGGCCAGCAGGAGGCTACAATCTGTTGTAATGACCTAGGAACCTGAGATCAGTATTCAGTACATTTGTTCTTTGTGTTCAGCAAGGTAATGAGCTTTAATTCCCAGATGTGTTCCTTGGAGCTAATATACATGTTTCTTTATGGGTATAGCTGTAATAGCAGCAATGATAACCCCAGGAATTTCTTCTTCAGTAGATAATACCCAAAGCTTTGAACACTTGCCAGAATTTGAAGCACACATCAGGCAGACCTAGATAAACTCAAAGGCATTGAGTCACTCGGAACACGGAAACGAACTGTGTTTTATTGTTGGCATTACAGCTGCCATTTTACATAAAATGGCTTTTAAACTGCACGGTAGCAGAATTCTACCTGCTTTAGCTTTTAGCAGATGACAGCAAGTCAGACAGCATCATTCTACCTGTGGCAGAACCATCCACATGATTTTTCCCCACTGCACAGTAATAGCCACGTAGCTGAAGCATAAGGGCTTTGGATCATGAATGGGAAAGGGGCCATCATATATAACTGCATAACTTCGTGCTGTTCTGAACACATTGCTTCTTTCTGCAAAGTCATCTACCAGACACTTGTCATCTTCTGTATTTGTCAGTTATATGAAGAGGCCAATATTGCAAACTAGTAAAAGGATTTCGGTAATGACAATCATCATAATCATAGTCATAAATAAATGAGGGAATTATTTGTATGTTCTGTTCTTGAGCATATTGTGCCATTATTGAACCAGTTCATGCACTTATTAGCCTGTAACTCCCAACTGCCTAGATATTTATGATGGTATGTGTCCCTCTGTTTCCTCACAAAGAAAATACAGGGGTGTTCGTGAGCCATAAGGATTCCTGTGCACAGAGAGAACCAGTTCATCCTTGTAAGCTGATTCTTAGATGATCCGACCTCTTCAGGAAGTGCCCTTCTACCACTGTTTCATTAGATGCTTGGGGGAGAAGATGTATACCTGCCCATTTCTCCATCATATATGTAGAAGTCCTGTCTCAATAAGTTTGCAAATAGGTGTTTTGTTTAAGATTTAAGGACCACATTTGGCTTCTGTCTTCAGCCCCCAAAGAAGTGTTGCAGTCCGGACACCTCAGTTATGCTGAAGACATACTTATCTAAGCATATTGACCCTCAAGATATTTTACATTTAGCCCAATCAGTTTCTATACATTTAAAACGTAAGAATCCTTATCAAATCACAACCTTAGTCACATGGCTTTTTGTTATTGTGCTGGGACCTTGCACTGTTTGGATTCCAGCTTCCCTTTTTGGTATCTCCTTCTCAGAGGGAGGCTCCCATGGCGTTTATCATTGCTGTTATTGTCCTTGGCCCTCACTCTAACCAGAAGGTGAATTAATCAAGGCTTCTGCTGTTTGCATACCGTAATGTCACTGAGTGAACTTCTATCTTGGGATCAAAGGTCATTAAACTGAGATTCTCCTGGAGACAACTTGTTATGCCATTCCCTAACTGCATCACTCAATCAATATGTCCAGAACCAGTGGCATATGATGCAATGCATTTTTATAATATTGCTAGAAGTTACCCAAAAAGAATATATTCTGATTTAAATTAGCATTTTATTATGCATAACATTTCCTCATGAACATTTGCTTTGCAACTGACAGCTGGCAGTACCTCACTCTGTTTCCCATCTCCCACACCCACACTTACACTCGATCTTCTTTTTGCAAGGTTCTTGTGCAATGGAGATACGTGCAGTTGCAGTGCTCCTGGGTTGCTGCAGCCACGGAAATTGATGCTGCATTTTTCCTCAATAGAAAGCTACAGCTTGCAATGCTGAATGGTGGATCGGTGGATCAGGCGATTCATTTATTTGTCCTTAATCCTCATGGGAGGGTATCTTTCCTGGACTCAAAGCTGAGCAAAAAAGAGGAGGTCTTGCCAAGAAAGGCTTCAGGAAGCATACTGCCAAGTAAAGAGGCAGAATGAATTAGCAACATCTAGGCAAGGCTATTATTTCATTTTATAACTTGCGTACTGTCTTTCAGAAATGGTGTGATTTATCGCAGCAGAAGCAGCTTTACTAAGGAGGAGGAAAGCTGAAGGTCTAAAACAGACCAAAATGTATCCCAGAAGAGATATAATTTTTGCTTTTATGTGGGATACTTGTATAATTTCCATCTACAGAGCAGACCATAAAAGAGAGGACACATTTATCAAGCTAGTGCTATGTTTAAGTGCCGTGTTGAGGCAGGAGAAGCAAATCTGTGGTTCAATGAATGTCAGCCCTTTGCTTCCATACTGCCAGTGTCTGAAAGCAAATGTTTTCTCTAGAATTATGGGTGTGTTTCTTCTTTTCTAAGAATACTGATGATGTAGGCAATTGCCATCTAGTCTGGATGGCCTGATGAAATGCCACACCAAATATCATCTCAGGAACCTGATTGCTGTGGTCTGCCTTTCTCAGTCTGTGCCTGATTGCCATATTGAGGCTCCAGTCCTTTTGTATGCATACCTTGGAGCAAACCGAGTACTGAGCTAAGTAAGGCTTGCCTTTCATGGTTCATGTTAGGAGAAAGTCCTCTCCCAAGTCTGCGGTGGATGTTTTCTTATGTTGAAACAGCTACAGTTGCAGGCTGTGGCAGGAGAGAACTATGGAATTTTTGTGTGTGTTTTATAAGATCCCAAACACCGTTACAACATTTAGTAAGGATTCCAGGTCAAGGGTTTGCGAAAGTTACTTATCTGGATGACAATCACTGAGTCAGTGTGATCAGTGGCTATGGGAATCTGGGAGTTGTAGTCTAAAAGAGTAACTCTTAATAATCTCCGATGATGTCACAGTCCTCAGAAGCCAGAGCACCACCTTTTTCAGGGCACCATGTCTGGAAGGAGTGAATCAGGTGAGAGGAAGAGTGCAATTGAAAGCATAAGATAGACCGAAAGGAGAGGTCAAGCATTAGAGATGGGGACGAATACGAAAAAGCTGATTCACAAAATAGTTGTTCCTCCACGAATATGAAGGGATGAATATTTACCATTTTTATTCGTCCTTCATATAAAAAAAGAAATAAAAACCATTCTGCCTACTGGCCGCCAAGCAGCTGATCAGTAGCCAATAGGCAGCCAGCCACCCGTAAAAAAAGAAATAAAAACCATTCTGCCTACCGGCCGCCGAACAGCTAATCAGTAGCCAATAGGCAGCCAGCCACCCACACAGCCAGCCACTCCCACAGCCTACCCCCACCCCCTTCCTCTCCCTACCTTCACATGGAATAGTGAATCACCTTGGAGAGCTTAGTAATGTGTCTCACAATGCTTTCATGAATACCCATTTAACATAAGACTGAGTTTTGGGGGATTTAATTATGTTTCTCTTCCCCCCCCCCCCACGCTTGGGCATGTCTTTTGTTCAGCAAAAGTGTGAGGGCAAAAGTTGAATGATGTATTCTGATATATTCATGGGGTGGCCATGTCATTTTGTAATCTGCTGTAGCAAAACTGGCTAAGAGTCTTGTGACTGAGCCTCATGGCGCAGTGGTTAAACCGCTGTACTGCAGCCAAAACTGTGCTCACGACCCAGGGTTCAATCCCAGGTAGCCGGCTCAAGGTTGACTCAGCCTTCTATCCTTCCGAGGTTGGTAAAATGAGTACCCAGCTCACTGGGGGGGGGGCAATGTGTAGCCTGCATAATTAACTTGTAAACCGCCCAGAGAGTGCTTGAAGCACTATGGGGCGGTATATAAGCAGCACAATTTTGTTTTTAAACACAAACAATCTTTATTTGGCATAGGTTTCCGGGGGCTGTAGCCCAATTGCTCAGATGCATAGAGAACAGTTTGTTTCTTTCCACTGTCTACCAAGGCTACACTCTGTGCATCGGAAGAACTGGGAGCCATTCCATAGTCTTTCTCTGGTTAAGGCAATGTTGCTGTCCTGAATTTTACTGTAATCTCCACATTTTAAAGTTCCTGGTTATGGTTCTGCCTTTATGTGAAACAGTTAAAAGAGCAGCAAAATGTCTGGAATGCACAATGGTATCTTTGTTTATCCTTTATTCCTTCATGCTCTCTCTGCTCATTTCTCAGTGTTAGTCCTGACACTCAATGCTCTTATTTTGTAGGGAGTAACAGCCAAAATTTGATTCAGTTTTTATGCTGGTGTAATACAACTGGTTTAAATCTTGTTGGCAAAAGCAAAAAAGAAAAAAAAAGAAAACAGAATTTGAGGGAGGATGACTTATATTTTGAAACAATTGGCACTAAGTTTGCTCAAGCAATGACTGATTCATTGTATTGCTAGTAAATGTTCCTCTAATGATGTTTAACATAATTTACTCTGCTAGTCATGAAGAGAGGTAAAAATTCTGAAAAACTACAGACTCTTCTTCTTCTTTTTCTTCCTCCTCCTCCTCCTCGTCCTCCTCCTCCTCCTCTTCCTAATGCCATTTAAGGAGACATTGCCCATACGTTTCCAAACTCACCTTTCTAGGCTGACATGAAAAAGAGATACAATCTTTGACATGACCAAGGTTATAATTTCTTTTTTCAAAGATAATCATTTTTTGTTTTATAACTTCACTGCGCAAGAAAGCAATGCAATTGATTTGTGGTTGATTATTACATAGCAAGAGACATTTTTCACACTGTGATTAACTCAAAACTAAGAGAAAAAATCCATCTAATTTGTGGGCTATATTTATCTCCTTGGAATTATTTAAGATGAGAGAAGTCTTGTTTGCTATTTCCTCAAATTGCCAATACTTTGTATAATTATGATTTTGCTGTTTCCATCACGAAGGATTGATAAAGCCCCCAAACCCCTTGTGGCAATGAATAACAAATAGTATTGACAGAGCTTGCTGAAAATAATTACTTAAAAGGAACAATAAGATATCAATTAATCAGTGCATGGTTCAGCTTTAACTTTATGGTATTCCAACAGTGAGGAAAAGTAATTACTCTTTTTCCTTGTAGTAAATAAATTTTACTCAGTTGTGTTGTTAACATTTGTGGGATAGTTAAATACAAGCAATTGAATACTATGGATTTATTAATGCATTGTCAACAGGCAGCAAATGAATATAAATCTGGCAATTGGGAAAGTTTTTTTCTGTTACTTTGGGAGAAGTGAAGACGAAGTTTTAACTTTATTTAAAATAGGCAGTTCAGTTAAGATCTAGAAGCCCTAACATCTGGAAATCCCATGTCTTGCCAAAGAGACTTCCCAAATACTGCATGACTTAGATCTTGGCATGTAGACATTCAGAAATGAAAAAGCCAGAACTTCAAGTTTAGTTACTTCACAGACTGAATTTGCGAAGTAACTAAAATAGCAAAATATTGGATGGCACCTCATACAGTCTGATAAGGCCAGCATACAGATGATGTATTACTTCCTAAGTATAATATTGGTGGTACAGAAGAAAATCCTTAGTTGTGATCATTATTCTAGCACAGTTGATAGATATGGCCAGTTCTAAGTGTTTTTGAGGTGATGCAACAACATGGTCAAAATCAACTTACAACTAAGGCTTCAAGGTTTTGGTGTTTTTTTTAGTCAAAAGCAAAATGGGGTCTTTTCCAGACAGAATACTGAGAGACAAAGGTATGCAACAGTGGTTCTCAAGCTTGGGCTCCCAGATGTTGTTCAAATACAACTGCCAGAAGCTTTGACCATTGGCCATGATTACTAGGACTTCCAAAAGTTGCAGTCTGTTGCTTCCACCATTGAAATATCAGTCACTATGATTGAAGGAAGGAGAAAAGAGTTACATAAGGTTCCTGCTGTATTTCCTGGGGAGGAAAAAGCTCTGCTATTGTCTTAAAGTTATGTCAACCTATGCACTATTTGGGCATTAAATCAGAAAGCGTGTAGGGTTCAAAGGATGGGGATGATGTGGGGATGCAGGTAGGCCCTGTCCCCATATCACCATCCCAATCAACCTATGCACTATTTGGGCATTAAATCGGAAAGTGTGTAGGGTTCAAAGGATGGGGGTGATATGGGGATGCAGGTCCCCATATCACCATCCCACCTGGAAGTCCTGCAGAGTTTTATGTGTTCAGTGTGAAAGTTTGCATTGGTGCTGTAAGTGCTTTCATCCTGCTCCAGCATCTGCTGCCTGACTCTGCTGTCCTACTTTGTGTAATGGAAAGACTAGCAACTTGCAGGAAATGCTATCCAAATGCTATTCCATGGCATAGTGGAGCCACAGTTTGTAGAGTCAAATTTCCAGGGTTTTCTGAACAGCAGGGTCTGTGACATCAGCTGCCACTCTATACACATTCATAAACACAGTTTTCTTGTTCCCTCTGATCTTAGCAGCAAATATGCTAAGATTCCATCCAACAGATGGAAGAGAAATGGCTTTTCACAGAAACAATATATGGTTGTAAACTTACCCTGTGGTGATGCTGTGTATCTGAGGGTGGTTTGATCTTGAATTGGCAATGAAGTGCCATGAACGTCACAAAAGACTTGTTTCTCAGTTGTTGACATGCACCAGTTAAACAGCAGGACTCTCCCTATGGAGTCAATGTGTGTGGCTAGAATGACTGCCTTGAGCATCTGCATTTTCAAATTTATTATCACAACAGTAAGACAAAGATTATAATTTGGTGTGGAAGAGAGTGCATAAATCCCAGTTCTTCTCACCCATCTTGGAACCATTTTGTTACCATAACTGGAGAGCAAAATGGTAATTAAGTCTTCAGAGCAAAGACTTCCCAGGATTCAGCTATCAACTTCTCCTCCCACTGAATACTGACTCAGGAAAAGCAGGTCAAATGAAATTCTTCTAGTTATTGCTTGTGTGTTGTTCATACATTGTTTGCAGCCATGTTGGCTGGGTGGTTCTGGGAATCATGATTCAAAACAAGTAACTTTTAAAATGTATGAAATATACGAGGAGTCTTTGTTAGGTATTTCTGGCTATAAATCTGTTATTGACATTCATGCTTCCTACTTTTCCCACAGAACTTTCAAAGGAATCAGTAAACAGCTGTTTTGGTGCCTCAATAGGCATAAACGTTCCTCTTCAAGAGACTCTTAATGTAAAAGCCAAAGTGTCATTTGATCAGTGTTCGAAAGATGCAAGCAGAGATTTTGGTAAGAAGCAGATACATATTTCCAACCCTCCCCCCCCACACACACTCTGTTGTACATATTTTGAAAGGAACCATCTTTCCTCCCATAATGTATATATTATGCTTTGGGAATGCAAGGCTGTGCCACAGCAATGTACCATAATGGGTGTCCTTTATTAATGCAAGGTTGCAGTGGATCATCTTATCCAAGAGTTCAGGGAAAGTAAAAGCTTAAAATATATCAAAATGTCATATTTATTTATGTATTTGAAACTATAAATTCACTGCCTAGTTATGAGACCTAATTGTGTGAATGAAGAACACAATTTATGAGGAAATCCTCTTGTACAAACACTACTAAAATGAAAAAAGAATGTGCAAAGGCTTTCCTGTGCCATTCAGAGGTAGGATTTCATCTTAGAACTGCAGAGCTGGGACCCTATGGATCATCAGGTCCAGCCCCTGTCAAAGAGGCACAGTGAGGAATTGAACTCCCAAACTCTGACTCTGCAGCCAGTTACCTAAACCACTGAGCTATCCAGATATACCCATTCATGCATTATTTGCATTATTGCGTAGAGGTACATTCTGTTCAGATCAGTGGGACCTTCTTTGATGTCATGTATTTAGTGGTTAGGAATACTTAATAATGAGAATACTTAATTTTAAAGTCAGATAAACGAACATGTAGCTAGCTGGATAGCTTGGTGAGATGGGCATGAGACTATGGAGCCAGAGGGTGGAAGCTGGTTTCCCCACTGTGCTCCTGAGGAGAAGAACCAGCCTGTGTAGCCTCAGGCAAGCTAGACAGTCTAGATTACCTTGGAAGAAGGAAATGGAAAACCACTTCTCAGTACTCTATACCAGGAAAATGCTGGAAACAGTTGCCATTGGGGGGGGGGAACAATTTGACAGCAGCTAATTATAATATCATTTGGGGATCTATTATTCTCCAGATATTGCTGAATAGGCAGTAGGAGATGATGGGTGTTACAGTCTAACTACTTCCGGAAGGTTACAGGTTCCCCATTCTTGCTGTAAAGTGTATGAAGTATTTTTTCGTTTAGTCATTTAAATTCATTGCTCCTTCTGATCTAATTCGTATCTTCACGATAAAGGGCTTTGTGTAGAGGAAACCTCACCAACCATGGAATCAAAAGAGGTGTCAGCAGACTCAGGGAGATCAAGGCAGAGAAGTCATATCTTAAAAGTAACATCGTCATTATTTCTTGAGCAACGATGAATGTCACACTTAATGTGAAAAGTTTTCAGTGTAATAAAAGGGGGAGAAAGCTGTGTGGTTCTTGCAGACAATCCAAAGATGAGAGAGGGGGATGTACTGTATTTCTCTTTGACCACTAGGAAAAAAAATCACGAACAATCATTAGCCTTTGGCTAAGAGCTAACAGTTGTTTGTGATTTTTTAGTGGTCTAATAAAGAGACATTGCCCTTCTTTGCCTTTGGATTGTCTACAAGGACCCTGCAGCTTGGAAGAGTTCATGAAGCTCTACATGAGGTTTCCCCCTACATGAAGGAACAGCATTTGGAACACAAGATAAGTTTCTGGCATCCTTCTTAATAATCAATCAGTCCTTCTGTGCTTCCTCTGTGTACAGTATGTCCATGTGCACATGTGCTTTGCTTTGCTTCCCAAAGAAGAAGGGCAATAGAGCCATTTTTCCACAAATTACAGGGCCTTTGCTCTTTGTCTTGTTCTCGGCTGTCGGTAAGGAACCCCACAGTGCTTTAAAAGTCCTTGTTCTGGTGCCTTGTCATGTCAAGGCAGCTGAAAAAGAGGAGGAAGAGGAATTCAGCAAATGTTGCCTCCACCTTCACAATGGAGACACTTTGCAGAACCTGCAGAGAAATTAAGAAGAAAAATAGAGCTCCTTCACCTTTTGACATTTGGATTACATTTGATTTTTGGAAGAGATGGTAGTAACATTTCAGTGATGTTTTCCCATTTTGTAATATTTTGCCTAACTTTTGATTCTAGATCTTTGTAGTGATGTTGAAATTGCAAATATATGCCTTGTGTATATATTCTACAATTCAAAAAATTAAGTATAGATTGGATATATAATGAGGTGTAGTGGATAGAGTGACAAACTAGGATTCAGAAGGCCTGGGTTCAAATCCCTGCACAGTCATGGAAACTCATTGAGGGTGTAGAACTGACAAAACCATTCCTTCAATATATCACCTACCTTGAGTCCTATTGTTGTTTAGTCGTTAAGTCATGTCCAACTCTTTGTGACACCATGAACCAGAGCACGCCAGACCCTCCTTTCTTCAACTGCTTCCCGGAGTTCGGTCAAGTTCATGTTGGTAGCTTCAATGACACTGTTCATCCGTCTCATCCTCTGTTGTCCCCTTCTCCTCTTGCCTTCACATTTTCCAACATCAGGGTCTTTTCCAGGGAGTCTTCTCTTCTCACGAGATGGTCAAAGTATTGGAGCCTCAGCTTCAGGATCTGTCCTTCCAGTGAGCACTCAGAGTTGATTTCCTTCAAAATGGATAGTTTTGTTCTCTTTGCAGTCCAGGGGACTCTCAAGAGTCTCCTCCAGCACCACAATTCAAAAGCATAAATTCTTTGGCGGTCAGCCTTCTTTATGGTCCATCTCTCACTTCCATACATCGCTACTGGAAAAACCATAGTTTTGACAAAGCTGACCTTTGTTGGTAAGGTAATGTCTCTGCTTTTTAAGATGCTGTCTAGGTTTGTCACCACTTTCCTCCCAAGAAGCAGGCGTCTTTTAATTTTGTGGCCGCTGTCACCATCTGCAGTGATCATGGAGCCCAAAAATCTGTCACTGCCTCCATATCTTCCCCTTCTATTTGCCAGAAGGTGATGGGAACAGTGGCCATGATCTTAGTTATTTTGATATTGAGCTTCAGACCATTTTTTGCACTCTTCTCTTTCACCCTCATTAAGAGGTTCTTTAATTCCTCCTCACTTTCTGCCATCAGAGTGGTATCATCTGCATATCTCAGGTTATTGATATTTCTTCTGGCAATCTTAATTCTGGCTTGGGATTCATCCAGTCCAGCCTTTCGCATGATGTATTCTGCATAATTTAAATAAGCAGGGAGACAATATACAGTCTTGTCATACTCCTTTCCCAATTTTGAACCAATCAGTTGTTCCATATCCAGTTTTAACTGTTGCTTCCTGTCCAACATATAGGTTTTCAGGTGATAGATAAGGTGGTCAGTCACTCCCATTTCTTTAAGGACTTGCCATAGTTTGCTGTGGTCCACACAGTCAAAGGTTTTTGTGTAGCCAATGAAGCAGAAATAGACATTTTTTTCTGGAATTCTCTGGCTTTCTCCATAATCCAGTGCATGTTAGCAGTTTGGTCTCTAGTCCCTCTGCCCCTTCAAAATCCAGCTTGTACTTTTGGGAGTTCTCGGTCCACATACTGCTGAACCCTACCTTATAGGAATTAGATTATAACCTTGCTAGTGTGTGAAATGAGTGCAATTGTATGGTAGTTGGAGCATTCCTTGGCACTGCCCTTCTTTGGGATTGGGATGTAGACTGATCTTTTCCAATCCTCTGGCCACTGCTGAGTTTTCCAAACTTGCTGGCATATGAGTCGTATTAGGGTCACTATAATCCAGTTCCAACTTAATGGCATGTAACAACAATAGATAGGATCTATCTAAGTCATAATTAAAGTATGTTAGTTGAAATAATGGCACTTGAGACAGTCATGATTATTAAAAATTCCATGTATTTCAATGGGTTTACTTTATGTACATTTTAAATATATTGCTATGTTTGGATCTAGAGATGGTCTCAATCTACGAGTTTGGCAGTTCATGCTAGTACCTTAGTCAGCTAAGCAACTGTTTGGTGCTTTCCAGCCCCACCTCCTCTGGTGGGTGCCCACTCAGAGGGAGCACCTGGAGGAGGTGGGGTGGGGAAGCTGAAACAGTGCCTCTGAGGGGGAACCCACTAGAGGAGGTGGGGCTGAAATGTACCAAACACCTGTTCAGCTAACAAATAAACCAGCAGTTCATGCCCATCTCTACTTGGATCCAGTCCATTCATATAAAAAAGAAAGATGGTTGTTTATGTCTGCCATAGGGTATGCTTTTCTCCACCTCCATGTCTTGCACTTGAAATGTCTTCTTTTTGAGACTTGCCCTTCTATTGTGGGCTTAATTTGCAAGTTTGGTTGGTGAGGCACATGTCATGTTGAAGGAAAACTGGGTTAATTAGAGAGAACATTCATCCTTCTTAATGCCTATTTTGACCCTTTGTCCCTTACCTGCTGTATTACTCTGTATTTGTCTTTGTAATCCTTATGTGTCCCATCCATTAAAAATAAAAACTTCAACAACCAATAATTTAAGACAAAGGTTGACTTGTGAAGTGACTGTGGCACAGGTTGATAAGACACTTTAACAAACAGAGCTGAAAGTGCTACTCATGTGACTGTATTATTATTGTTATTACCTCCATCTCCCTAAGTGGGCTCAAGCACACCCATTAAGCAGCACTAAAACTTCCTTGGCTGCCTTTCTGATATGAGTCTCAATAAGGCTATATTCTTGTAATAGCTACTTGCCAGCAAATGTCCTCCTCTGAGTCACCTTGGTGAACATGTTTTAACAGGGCTAGTGAATTCATGGAATGAACACTAATCCATTGTCCAACTTTCCAGATTCTACCAGTAGCAACTCAGCCATTGAGGATATTATTCCCCTAGTTCAAGGGGGAGACGCAGCCTCGATTGGAAGGCTCATGGAAGGCTCAAGTGTGAATGCATACCGTTACTGGGGGAGGTCATTAAAACTTAATCCCGCGGTTATTGATTTTGAGGTAAGCCCTTTCTCTCAGTCGTAGAAACGCCACATCTCTAAAGGATTGAAAGTGTACTAGACCAGATCATTTTATATTTTTATTGTGATTCCATCTTAGAACAGGATTAAATGTAATGGGCCACTGATCTGCTGACCTTCTCTCTATTTCACAATGCAGGAATGCTTTTTTTCTTAAAGCAATGCCTACAAAGCAAGAGACAGAGAAGATACAGAGGCTAGGTTTTGGCCCATCACAACTAGATTTTGAAATAAAAACTTTGAACATAATGATAGCCAATGTAGTTCTAACGTTTTTCCACAGAAGGATTCAAATAAACTGAGCTGATATGGACATGAAATAGGGTTTATATGATGTGGAGTACCACTGATATCAATCCTACAGGGAGTGCATCTATAACCATGAACCTTTGGTGTAATCCTTTAAGGAGATGAGAAGAGCAGCCATAGTGCCTAGATATTGGAAAGAGTAGAATTTAAAATCTGATGTGGGGTTGTGCTTCTTTGTGTCCCACCACAATATGCTAAATGTGGACATAGGAGAGGGCCTTTTTGGCTGCAGCACCTCAGCTGTGGACTATCTTCTGCTTGGAGGCCCACATGGTACAGACACTGGCTTTCTTTCAACCGCAACCTGTTTATTTAATTGAGCATTCAAATGAGATTTTGCCTTGCCTTCTAGACTTTTGGTGTGGTGGTTTTCTTTCTTTCTTTCTTTCTTTCTTTCTTTCTTTCTTTCTTTCTTTCATGAATGTCTAAATTGTTTTGAAAGGTTTCAAAGTGTTTGAGGTGGATGCGCTTGTAGTACTTGAGCTTCTTCTAACCTGATTTGATTCAATGTTGTTTGTCTGTTGAAACATGTATAGCTTGCCCTATGCCTCAGGAAGGATCTCTGGGTGTTTTACAAAGCTGTTTAAAATAATTGCGAAACATAAGATATTTAAAGCAATTCAAAATCAAATAGCACAAAATTTAAAAAAATTGAACATTAAATACATTGTGCCATAACCTACAGAGGCCACAATCCTTAACTTCCAAAGGCTCTAACAAATTACATATTGGCCTGGTGCTGAAATGCTACCAGAGTTGGCACCAACCAAACCCCCAAGGGCAGGGCATTCCACAGCTGCTGCATACTGCACCTACTGCAGCATCCATGTCATCTTGAATGGTAGCCCCATGTGCAGTGCATTACAGTAGGCTAACCAGGAATGTACAAGGGCATGGACTGCTGTGATCAGGTTATAGTAGTAGAATAAAGCTGAAAGATTCAGGAGCCAACTAGAACAATCCTGTTCCATACTACGAGAGCCAAAAGTCATTTCAGCCAAAATGAAAGCTAGTTTTCATTCCCCAGAAGTTGGTGGACCTGGTTAGTGGTTAAAGAGTCTGCTTGCTTCTTGCAGGCCTCTGCAGTGACTTTCTTGGTAAAGCAAGCCTGTTTACAGCAGTGACTGCCAATTTATATCTTCCTGTGCTCATTTTTCCGTGCTGTCTCTTCATATGGCATAGGCCATCCTGAACAGAGATCAACACCAATTACCTTTCAGTTGAGGCTGGACATTTTCTCATGGGTAACTCTACTACTTCTGGAGAAGCTGCAGTTCTGACTCTCAAGACTCTCAGGCCAGGGGTGTGGGGAATAGCGATGATGCACCCAATGCAGTTGAAATGTGGATATCTGAAATCCTGTGCAGCCTTATTTGCTTATTTGGAAGAAAACAAGATTTCATACAACAGGCAGAGGTGTTTGAAAAAGCCTTGACAAACACACACCAACCCCACACAAACACCTTTTTCTTCATGGGACCCTCTCATCTTATACTCACCACCTCCTGCATCTTCCACCATTTTCTCCCCATAATCCATCTTCACTTTGGTGGCTGGGGAAAAGGCTAGTCAAACCCTAGAAATGCAAGAGAACATTGCACCTTATCGTATTTCTCTATTTCTATACTGTATTTCTATATTTTCTACTGGAAAGCTGCAGATTTTTACAAGAAATTATTTCAGGGAGTGGTTGCAGCAGTTGGACAGTCTTTACTGTCTTTAAATGTAAGTAACAGTCACACACACACACACACACACACACACACACACACAAACACACACACACACACACACACACACACACACACACACACACACACACACACACACACACACACAGAACCAGTCCTTGAGGAAATCTTACTAGCAGTTTTTCTTGCATGGCCTTTGCGCGAAGAAAGAAAGCTGTTCTTGATCATTTTACAGGCCACTCCATTTCCTCTGCCCCCTACTTAACTAGAAGTGTATCTGCTTTCCGACTTTGGCCGCCAAACGGTAAGAAGGATCAACTGGAAATAGAAATGTGCTGATAAAACAGCAGGAAAACAGCAGCTTCTATGAGGAGTGTGTGTGTGTGTGTGTGTGTGTGTGCGTGTGTGTGTCAGAATGGAAGTGGGAGATTGTTTTTAATCAGTTATAATGAGAAGTGACTGTCAGCAGTTTCTGGGTGCTCTCTGCACACATTTCCATTAATGTGGGATAAAACTCTGTACTGCTTGCTTGTAGCCTAGTCTATAACCTTTAAATGGCTGCTTCAGGAGCTCTTCCAGTGCATGTGCTTTTGGAGTGGATTCAAGCACCCAATAATTACTTGTGTCCACTTGAATGTCCTCTTATCTTGACACACGGTTGTTTGCTAAAGTATTTTGTGCAAATATTGTTTCAAAACCTCAGCTTTCAAGGCTGTAGAGAAGCTTTTCTGTGGCAACCGGGACTGTCCTTGTGCATTACAGGAAACAAAGCCCCAGTAAACAGACTGTCTGGTGCAATCTGTCCATGCTTCTGACAACTCTGCGCTCTGTCCTCTATTTCTTTCTTTTTTTCTTCTATCCAGGGCTGCCCCAATATATTTTGCTGCCTAAAGCAGAAAATCAAACTGTGCTCACTTGCTCAAGGTACACAATATCCAAGGGCACTTGGGTTCACTTTAATTTACACTGCCTTGTAAATTAAAATGGACAATAATATTAAATTAAATGTTTAGCAAGTTGCTGCCTTTTCTTGAACCCACAATCATTCCCCTGAGGCACTTCAGTCACCCTGCCCATTTTTCTTCTTGAATTCCACAACCCTTTTTCCCATTCACTGCCCCAAAAGCAGAAAACTGGGATTAGCAACAGTGTCCGTCTTCATTGTTGGTATAATGGCTGTACATAAGGGGGGGGGGAGTTTTCCTAGATCAAATGGGCAGCAATCCTGATTTGCTTTAGTTTGCTTTGGCGTCGCTCTGTCCTGCAATATGTGCAACTCATGCCCATGCAGCTTCCTAGCTAACAGGCTAGGAGATTATAACCAAATTTCTAAAGGAACCTGGTTTTCTCAATAGCTTCTGAGAGTATCTTCATCTGGGAAGACAAAACGAGTGTCTCTAGGAAATTGATAACTGTGTGTGTGTTTAGTCGTTTAGTCGTGTCCGACTCTTCGTGACCCCATGGACCAGAGCACGCCAGGCCCTCCTGTCTTCTACTGCCTCCCGGAGTTGTGTCAGGTTCATGTTGGTTGCTTCGCAGACACTGTCCAGCCATCTCATCCTCGGTCGTCCCCTTCTCCTCTTGCCATCACACCTTCCTAACATCAAGGTTTTTTCCAAGGACTCTTTTCTTCTCATGAGATGGCCAAAGTATTGGAGCCTCAGCTTCAGGATCTGTCCTTCAAGTGAGCATTCAGGGTTGATTTCCTTTAGAACTGATAGGTTTGTTCTCCTTGCAGTCCAGGGGATTCTCAAGAGCCTCCTCCAGCACCACAATTCAAAGGCATCAATTCTTCGGCGGTCAGCTTTCTTTATGGTCCAGCTCTCACTTCCATACATCACGACAGGAAAAACCATAGCTTTGACTATTCGGACTTTTGTTGGCAAGGTGATGTCTCTGCTTTTCAAGATGCTGTCAAGATTTGTCATCGCTTTCCTCCCAAGAAGCAGGCGTCTTTTAATTTCAGGGCTGCTGTCTCCATCTGCAGTGATCATGGAGCCCAGGAAGATAAAATTTGACACTGCCTCCATATCTTCCCCTTCTATTTCCCAGGAGGTGATGGGACCAGTGGCCATATACCAAATGATTTTACCTTTTGCTGAAATGTTACAAAAGAAGTTCTTTATTTCTGACATATTTAGTGAAGAAATTTACATGGAAAGTAATTGTTTCCAAATAGCTTAGAACCAACTATTGCTGAACCCAGTGCCTTTCTTTGCGTACTCCTTTCCCAATTTTGAACCACTCAGTTGTTCCATGACCTAAGTTAAAGGTAGTCTCAGAAAGAACTTTAGAATGTAGAGAAAGCAATAATGCCTGATACCCATTTTGACTGCTTGGTCAGAAGGGACTACAACCAACAGAGAGAAAAGGGAACCAGGTAGGGCTGGGCTGATTGGGAGAACCTTCAGCCTCAAGTGGAGTAATGCTAATGGATGAGCCTCCACTGGCCCTCCTTCTTTATCTTTCAGGAAACCTGGAATTTTCCACAAATTTTCTCCTTATTCAAATTCTGCTCAGCTGTTCTCCATTTCATTGTTCTTTGCTCATTATCCAGCCTTCCCTTCCCTCTCTGCTCCCACTGGATTGTTATTTTGACCTCATGCATCCTAAACCATGAAATGGCATGTCCCTAGGTAGTGTTCAATGTGCTTTTGGTTCTCAAACTATTTACGGTACATTCACCTGTCAAATTTTAATTCCCTTTCAGACCTAGCCATCTCCAGCTACACTTGGGCCATCTACCTGGAGATGGGAAAAATTTTTTACCTTTTCGGACCAAAACTCCAGGAATTATGTAACTCTTCTGGCCTCTAGTTATTTCTGCTAAATGTGAAGCTATCCTCTGGTTCTGCCTTCTGGAAGAAAACAGGAAAGAGACCAGCCTAGCTTCACTATCAGGGGTTCAACAGACTGGGAGTGGCCCACTGAGCAGGTCTTTTTCATAGGAAGAGAGTGTAAACCTGGAGATGAATTCTTTGTAAGTCAGAGGAAAGCTCTGAACCATTTATCAGTAACTCCTAACTTAGGGTCAAACCTGATATTAAACAGGCTGGATAACTCAGTGAGTTAGGTATCTCGTTGTGGAATCAGAAGTTGAGAGTTCAAATCCCCACTGTTCAAATCCCCATCTCAGAAGAGTCAGTCTGTGTGGCCTTGGGCAAGCTGCACAATGCCAGGGTGCCCCCAGAAAAAGAGAGTGGTGAATCGCTTCTGAGTACTCTCTGCCTGGAAAACCCTGAAAAGGGTCACTGATAGAGATGGGGGCATTCGTATATGAATATCCCCGCACAGGTGGCATTAACAAGGGACCTGGCCCATGGGGCTGGACGGTCCACTTACTGATCTGCCACAAATGCGGACAACGCAATTCTACCAATGGCTCCACAGTGCGTGATCTGCTCGCCACTCCTGGCAGGAGAACAAGGGTCACTGCAGGGTTGAAGGGTGGCGAGCGGATCACATGCTGCAGAACCATTCGTCCGCGGTGGATCAGTGAGTGGACCAATCCAGCCCCATGGGGCTGGACCCTCATTAACACCACATGTGTGGGGATATTCATATTTGTATATGAATATACCCACCACCATATATCAGAATTGAAACAATTATTATTATTATACTTCCTACAAGATAATGCATTTTCCCTTCAACAACATGGCTCCTCAAACATATATGCCTCAGCAATCAGATTTCCTAATTTGTTTTTTGCTGAATGACCAATTTGATTACAGAGCTGAAACAGGGCATGTTAAATGCAAAATATGGGGGTGAAGAAAAAAACATGCTAATGTCTTTCACTAGCAGAGGGTGAAACATACTAAATGTTATTTTCTGGAAACATGTGAAACGTATCACCTAGTTCAACCCAAGCTACAGTTTGAAAATTGTTGCTCAGTTCCAGCTTCTCCTAACTGGCTGTCCTGAAGATATGTTAGGTTACAACTGTGAACAGGGCCGGTGCCCCTTTTGTTCTCTCTGGGCGTTTGTATTGTATCTTTGTCCAATCTGCAGGTTCCTACAAAAGCAAGGCTAATACCCATTAATCGATTTCGGTTTCTATTACTTCACAGTTAATGCCCATCGATGAAATACTACGCAGGACCAACCTTCAGCACATGGAAGTTAAAAGAAAAAACATGAAAAGGGCTCTGGATGAATACATGACAGAGTTCAATGCCTGCCGTTGTGGTCCATGCCAGAACAATGGTGAACCAATGATGGTGGCAACCACCTGTGACTGTGAGTGCCAGAAAGGTGCCCAGGGCCCAGCATGTGAGAACACACAGCGGGCAGGTAAGCTGAAGCCACTGAAGGCAAATTCACTCTTGACATTGTTCATGAATGCTTCTTCAGATCCATCCATCAACAAGCACCTCCCTTCAGTACCTTGGATCACCTTAAGTGCCAGGCAGCTGAAGGGGCCTTGCATAGGAATAAAATTAACAGCTTGAGTGATTATGATAAGTAAGCCAGGTTATGCAAAGAAGGTTTTAGAGGTAGCAAATGTTTCAGCGTTGTAAATCATGCCATGGACTGCAAGGACAGAACCAACAAAAACAGCAGCTGAATACTAATGTCAAAGATGGACAGCCTTTGCTTGTACAGATCTTAATTGGTTTATTTCAGTGAAGTTTGGTGCATATAGCTCTACATAGGATCCAATCAATTCTTTTCACCAGTCAAAAGGCCTGTTCAGAGAGGGGAATTTGGAGCAGTCTGGTTTGTGCTTTAAATATTCTTATCTTCAATGTGATCTGCAATATTTTATCTCTCACTTGAATGATATTTCTGTTTGCACTGGAAATGTTATTCTCCCATGAGAAGGGCCAATACAGGTCTTTGGATTGTTGGCTTACTCATGAACAAGGTTTAACCAGTTTATTCACCTGTTTAGTACCTGGTTTACTCATGAGTCTGGAGGCAGCAGCAACAGCTGTCAAGAACAGCAGTGGCACTTGACAAAAACATTGGGGGGGGTAACCTCGCATGATATTAGAATTGTGTCAGTTGGGGAAACAATTAAAAAGACAATCTTCCCTTTTAATGTACCCACCCACCTAATTCATCACAGGGCTGTTACCTCAGATAATACCACCAACAGTTCTATTTAAGTGCAAAATAACCACCTGAGAAACTGTACAATGGTATAGTTGGAAGTGCACTGGGTTGTATTGGAAAAAAAATAGAGAAGCCCCAAGCAGTGTGCCAGAAAGGAGTGGGACAGCTCTTAAAGGCGCAGGATGGATCAATCTAAGGAGAAAAACATGTAGATGACATAAGTTGGTTCAACCCACACCTTATTAACAGCGATCCAAATGGCAATCTGTGTACTCATCTGGACAAGCTCTTAGTGTTCCATGTGATAAGTAAGATGGGAATTTACCAGGACAATGTGAAGGCATTCTTAAGAAAGCTTGCTCCTTCCTTCTCCCAAGAAGGACTTATTTATTTAAAACATCATAATATCATGCTTCATCATATCAATTTTCAGGGCAGTATGCAGGAGAAAACAAATTGCAAGAGAAAACAAAAGTGCAAGAAACTTTAGAACAGTCTAATGCTCCTTTACCATTCTGGAATTTGTTCCTGTCACATGAACAATGTTTAGCAACTGGTTGTTGTCAGAAATTCTGAAAGAAATTAAAAAGATTACAAAGTTATTATAATATGACCATAATGATTACCAGCACTTTTGGCTCCAGCTTTATTAGAATCATCTGAGCAGTGGAGTAACTTCAGTTTACCTAATTTCTCCTATGTCAGGCCTAAAAAAATCTGTCATCCAGATACTGTTTGGCTCCGATGGCCATCAGCTCCATCCCCTGGCCATCCGGGCCAATGGTGAGGAAGAAGAAGAATGACAGTTTGCCATCATCTGGAGAGCTGCAAGGTCACTATCCCAGAACATATTAGTGGTAGTTTCATCTCTGACTTTCTAATAATTGGCTATTGTGTTGCAGGTCGCCCAGAGCATGGTAGCTGGAGTTGCTGGGCTCCATCGACATCTTGCCAAGCTGGAACAAGAAGGCGTACCAGACAGTGTACAAACCCAGCTCCTAGTAATGGTGGACGAATGTGTGTTGGCAAGAGTGAACAAGTGGTAGCCTGTTAACAGTCTGCTAAGAGTGGAAGGAAGAGCCATGTTGCCAAACATCAACATGTGGGACAGGCCTCAGATTCAAGCATAGCAACAAAATAACATTGTGCCATAAATATCTGTAATAAAGGCAGGGAATGTACCAAAATAAGGGGGGTTCAAATATAAGGATTATTATTACAGGAGCTAGATGCATAATCATGCCAACCATAGGTGGGATCTCTGGGGATCATTTCATCGATGGAAGTCACGGAGCCACAAGGGATCGTTTCCCTTCCACCCTTAACTACCTGTGGATCTCTAAAATTTCCTCAGGAGGGTCAGGAATGCCTCCTAGCAGGTTTTGGGGTTGTACAGAGAGCTGCAAGGAGACAGGAAAGAAAGGCTTGTCATGCTTTTCGGCTTCCACTAACACCACATTGGATTTAGGCATATGCTGCGACTTGTTGTGCTTAAATTTGTAATGAAAAGGGAAGACAGTCTTGCTCCAAAGGCAAATCTGAAGGTACATCTGTATGGTGAACACTGCTGGCCTGTGGCCTCAGTGACGGATACTTAATCAAGGTTGCTCAAAAAAAATCTTTCCATGTGTATCTGTATTAATAAAGTAGAAGCTGTTTGTGTCCATGGGTGCGTCTTTCTACCATAGCTGTGAAAACTAAGTGCTTGAAACTTGACATGCATACTAAGAGGACCCTAGGAATTATTTTTGTGTGTGTGTGTGTGTGTGTGTGTGTGTGTGTTTCTTATTTATATTCATACTCTGCTTTTCTTCCAATGAAAAGGAAAAGCAATACACATGGTTGCCCACTTTCTCACCTTTTCCTTACAATAAGTTTGGTTAACTGATTTCTTAATTTAATCAATTTCTTAATTAATCTGATTTGATTGAAAATTAGCTAATTAATGTTAATCTGTAGTACCATTCTAAGTAACTAAGTTTTAGACTTCCCCAGAACCTATGGGTACCTCTGGCCTAAAGGCACAGTAGTGGGGTGGGGTGGGGGAACCATGCTAAGGACAACAGCTGCCTCTCTTTGCAGGAGCCCCAAACTCATAAAAAATGAAGAATGGAGGAGGGGGAAGCCATGCTGCCTGGTAGGGCAGTAAGTAGTAGAGATAAGGTGAATAAAAACACTGGGAAGAGAGACAGGAAGGAAAGAGGGTAAATAGGAAAGGAAAAAGAGCACCAGGAAGGGTAAGGGAGAAGGCGAACTTGTGTTGTATAAGAAGTGAGAAAGAACATCGAACTTTGTGAAACAGAAAGCACTGGGGTGGGCTAGCTCAATGGAAAGAGGGACAGAGGGACAGGCTACCTCAATAGATAAGTGGGCTAGAGAAAGATAAAGAGTGGGAAGTAAAGATGTTGCCAAGTGGGGGTGGGGGATAAAAATATGTCACCAGTGCAGAGCTGAGTATTTTTTTTTCTTAGCATCTTTTTTAAAGAGTAAGATCTTGCCTCCTGTCACTTTCTTGTCTTCCATTTCTGCATCTTGGATTGTGTGTGGAATCATAAGAAGGGTCTATAGCATAACAAGTGACCCCAAACAGCAGAGAGGAAGGGAGGGAATCCTAGAATTAGTCCTATGATAATTGGGTCCATGACATCTGTGGGCATATTATAATGTGACATTTTCTCACCATGTTCCAATCAGGAAATATTACAGGATCAGTAGCACAATCTGTGTCCTTGTACTGACCCCTTAATAGTCCTGTAAAAATCCTGTTGCTTAGTTATGCCTGCAGAAGGCAAATGGCACAACTTGCAGTGGCCTCTTGCTGACAATTAACAAAGCTCTGCTTATATTTTCAGGTGCATGCTTACCACATGTACACCATTTGCCTTCCACAGACATAACTAAGCAACAGGATTTTGGCCTGAAGGTTTCTACTCCCTACTCAAATGAACAGATTTCTAGAACCCCTCTATTCTTGTCTTACACAGTGTTGTCACTCTGTACAGCTAAGATGGTGCTGCGATGCCTTCTTCTTCTAAATTCAATAGATTGCCCTTGGCTAGACCTTCAAGGAGCTTAGACAGATATCTAAGCTCCTAAACTTAGACAGAGATTTAGTTATTCAGTCCCTGGAAGTGAGCCTTAGCTTTTTAAACAGCACTGCATTAAGACAGTTATTTTAAAAGAATTAGTCATATAAGTCAAGCATTTGGAGTAGAATCCAAAACAACTGTTTTGGCAGTCAAATTAACACACACTACTTGTTTTTCCAGATCTAGTCATACAATTCAGGAAGTACGTGTGTGCTCAGATAATGCAGATTATTCCAAATACTTACCAATAATGAATTAAAATAAAACATTAAAGTAATCCTAACTTTGCCAGAACTGATCACATTTTATGTGACTGCAAAAAAGGCAAGTGAGGCTGAACATTCCAGCTCCATAAAGTTGATGGCAGAGTGGCTGATACATCCTATAAATAGGGGACATAATCCACACTTCCCTGGGTCTCACATGGGGTAAGCAGCAGGGTGGGCTACTTGTGCTCTCTGTAGAGGTAGCCCTCATGCTGGGGTTCTGGGGGGGCGCGAGATATCTACAATCTGTTATTCACCCAAGAAATGGCAACATTTAGGTTTTTTTAATGCATTGTCTCAGAATGCCAGAATAATTGTGTGTTTTTTTAAGTGTTCGGAAGAAACACTTGATGGAGAAACAAATGGATTGTGAAGGTCACTAATGAAGTGTTTTGGTGGAAGAGAGAAGCATGGGTTGGGAAACCCACTCTGCTTGGCCCCACCTGTTTTCAGCAGCAATCTTTGCGATGGAGAAAGGCATAACTAGCAGCGGGAAAGGATTACAGACAGCTGGGCATGACTGTCTTGAACACGATGTGTCTGAGCATGCTCCAGAATGTAGTTTTCTGCTTGGATCATGGGCTTGTCATTTTTTTTCTTCGCCAAGAAAGTAACAAATAGCATGGTTTTGACAGGAAGTGATGTCTCCCAGCATGCTGGACCAAGTCCTTTTCAGTTCGGGTCAAGCAGACGCACATCTGTGCGATGTCACCACTTTTGTTTAGCCCCTCTCCGACTGCAGCTATGAGCTGCATTTGCTGCAAGAGGAGGGGGAAAGGCAGTGATGAGCTCCTCACTAGTGGATCAGTCTAGACCAATGGTTCTTAACCTTGGGTAACCCAGGTGTTCTTGGACTGCAAGTCCCAGAAGCCCCAACCAGCATAGCTGGTGGCGAAGGCTTCTGGGAATTGCAGTCCAAGAATACCTGGATTACCCAAGGTTAAGAACCACTGGTCTAGACAATCTAGAGAGTGAAAGCTATGTCTTGAATGATAAGGTGGGGAGGGAGTCCCAGTCTGTAAAACGATAAGAGTGACACCATAAAGGCACACATTGTTTTCATTCTAGCCCTGTGTAGGTGCTCTCCTCACCTGCAAGCTCTGTGCATCAGAAAGGAAGTAGGGACATTTGCACTAGCTTTGCTTGCTCCTTGCATGTTCTCTCTACATGTGAAGGGCCTCATCTCTCCCTGAGATATTGTCCTATTTTTCCAGGGCCAATGTAGGCTTTTCCATTAGAATGAATGGGACTCTACCCTGCCTTATATTCAAACTGCTCCCAGTCAGTGCAGTCTTGTTTGCTGAGGCAGAGGGTCATGGTCCCTTTTGCTTGCTTGTATCTCTCCTTCTCTCACCCCTTTTGACTGTATATATAAGAAAAGCATCTTTTGTCCATGCCTCTGCCTATTACCTTTGACTCCACCCACCTGTGCTGGGCATTCTTCCCCAACAGCCAAAGGGGACAGAAAGCCACTTTCCAAGGCATGAAAAGGTCAGGGAGAGAAGAGAGTCTCCCTTACAGACGGTTGCCGTCCATGTTTAGACGGCACCAAGAATGAGCAAGGGGCAGAGAGTCAACTTGCTTGTCATTAAGAAAGTGGATAGAAATGCTAATACACATGCAGAGATACAGATGTAGAGAGAATTACTATGATTTAAACAGAAACATTGATGGCTGGATAGCTCAATGACTTAGATATCTGGCTGTGGAGTCAGTTCAGTTCCCCCTGTGCCTTTTGGGAGAAGAGCCAGCCTCTATAGTCTTGGGCAAGCTTCACAGTCCCAGGACACCCCCAGAAGAAGGGAATGGTAAACCACTTCAAGTACTCTCTACCTAGAAAGCCCTGGAAAAGGTCACCATAACTCAAAGTTTATTTGACAGCACACAATTGTTATTATAAATAGAAATAGACTGTATCTCACCACAGTGGATAGAAGCATCTGGTGACCTTTGTGTTCTTGTTTTTTTTCCAGTCATCAGTTTGGTACATAGTGTTGACAGACAATTGAATGACCCTTACTCTCCTTTATGATTCTTTTTCTTTAAACTAGAGTAGGGCTGGACGACCTTTCAAACAGAGGGCACAAAGTCTTTCAAAGAGAGAACCATCCAGTGTCAAGCTGGACATATGACCACTGGAGAGAGAGAGAGAGAAAGAGAGAGAATGAGAGTTTTAGCACATTTATCCATAATTCCCTCCTCCTGTGTAAAGTTTATGTATGAACCAAGTCCTGTGTAAAGCCTACATATGAGCGAAACACTGGGTTAAGGCTTTTGAACACTGAAATCCAATTTAGTATAATTTTCACTATATACTGATCATGAATAAAAGAATCGTAGCCACACACAGCCTTTCCACTGAGGACATTGCTGCACAAATGAGGCTATTTCCCCTCTAAGACTAGCCATGAATCATCTATTAGAACACCAGCATTTTATCTCCAAGGATCCCCAGAGCTGGAGATGTTAACAGTCTGGCTGATTTAAGAGCCCTTTTCTGAATGCAAGACATAAATCTCCGTGCAAGAGTATGCACGTTATTGAACAGAGTCCAAAGACAGTGGGGTAAGAGTCCACAGCTGCTTGCTTCTAAGAAACTGTTGTGAACACTGGCAGAGATAAACACAGTCTTACAGTGAATGGTAACCAGGCTGTACTGCACTGGGATGGGCTTTACCTCATGAAAGGATAAAAGGATCCATGATGGCAAATTGGGAAGAATGGTTTAAAGGACATGATGGTCAAGAAATCAATGTGGGGGAAGCCAGGCCTCCAGACACCTGCCTCCTCTTCTCCCCACAAAAGCTGATACATTCCCCCCCCATAGGTGACAGTGTTAATTCATTTGTCAAGGAAGGACAAGGAAGGAAATATAGGCCAAAATCCTGAAGTTACAACTAGAGTAGTCCCATTGGATCACAAGAAGTCAATGTGGACTCATCAAATCCCCACTGATTCAACAGGCCTCCTCCAGTTGCAACCTACTATTGGATTTCAGCCATAGATTGGTTAAAACTAGAAAGGCTGTATGTAGGATAGAGAAAACATAGGGACAGGTCTGGTGTCTAACAGCTGTGTCAGAGAATGCTAGGTTTCAGACAGTCAAAGGTTGGGAAAACTCCATTCTCCTTTTTTTCCTGCACAATTGTTTCACAAATCCCTCAGTCAACATGTCCACAGGTGCAAAGACAAATGTTTACCCAAACAAAACACAACCCCAAAATCCATTGGTGGACAGTGTATTTGGTCCTTTTAAAGGACCAAATACAGTTACATGACAAACCTCCACAGAACTCCTCACAAGATTAG